AACATATATTTTTTTCAGATTTTTTAGATTTAATCTGATGAAGCTGTTTTAATTACATATAAAGTTAATTATTTTTTTATATGTTTTTATTATTAAAAAATAATTAACTTTATATGCAATTAGAATAGCTTTATCAAATTAAATCTAAAAAATCATATGTTAAAATATGTGATATTATCTTCATTTTAATATAAAAATAAAAAATATTTATCAGTAAAATTGAAAACTTTTATATAAAGAAAAAACTCATATTTTTCATATTTTTACTATGTTTTATTAATAAATTTGTTTTAGTATTTCATTCTTTTTAATTACTACTATATATATATATATAATTTTTTTATAATTTAATAAATTATTTTTAATTATAATTAAACTTCAACAATTCTTATTTTAATCTATAAAAATTATAAGAAATACTAATAATAAATTTTATTATACTAACTAAAAATATTTATTAAATTTCAATATTTTATTAAGTGTTAATACAATAGCAATAAAAAAAGGCAGTAACATCGAAACTTACTAATAAAATATAAATAAAACGCGAGTTTTTAATTTTACTAATCAACATTTTATATCAAAATAAAAATAATATTTTTAATTGCAAGTTAATTAATTTTTATAATTAAAAATTGAAAGAATATATATTAAAAATGTTAATTATTATTTTTATTTTGATATAAAATAAAAAATATTGATTAATAATTAAAAACTTTTATATAGAGAAAAACCCGTACTGTATTATATTTTATTAGTAGGTTTTGACGCATTTCTTTTGGTTGTCATCGTATTTACTTTATTATTATTTTAGTTGATTTATTACTTTATTTTATTACTTGCTATCATATACTTCGATATTTTATTTTTCATTAACTTTATATTGAATATTGAATAATGTTTGATATTTAATGTTTGGTTATTTCAATTCGTTTTTATAATACGTATAATTGGAACGGTCCCACAATTCTACAATTTCTATTCCTCTTTCAATTGGTCAATAAATTCGTTAGATCACTAGAATCTGCAAGATAATCGTCACCATTGTTCAACATCGGATGGCATTACTTTGGCATTATGATCGTCCAAATTAATGGCTTGGTGTTGGACATAGATAAAAGAGAATTATATTCGTGGAACTAAGTTGGGTGATATTGATTATTTTTTTTTTGAAATTTTCGCCTTACAGTTCTCACTACATTTCCTAGTTAAGTTTTCTGAAGATATATTTTACGTCAGCTTTTTTACGTAACAAAATACATTCGTTTTACAGAAACATTCGGACAATTAAAAATTGATATGTTGATTAGCAAAGGCTTAATTATCTTTGCAGGAATTGTACAATTCCAAGGTTCTTTTACATAGATTTTCTTACTATTTATTTTATTATCACGTCTAATTATAAACCAGAAAATTTGGGTTTTGCTTTTCCAATTGATATATTAACTGTTCGCATTGTGACTTTACTATGCCATTAACATGCATTTTTTTTAATATATGAATAACTAATTTATAGACCACTTTTAGTTGGTGCAATCAATTAGCGGTAATCGAAACATTAACTAATGTGATTGACTACAACAACACAACGATAAACTCGATCCAACAAAAATCTAGTATTGAAACCTCGGCATGTGGTGTAAAAATAAAGTAAATTATTACTTCATAATGGGAAATTAAAAAGTAATGTATTACTGAAGCTTTGAAACTTAATGAACAAATTAGATGTTCATTATTAATAAATATTCTATGTTTATATTACTTTATTTCAATAAATGATATATTGTCTTCAGTGATCGATTTTCTTTCGACACCATTCTTTAATCTAAAGTAAATATGCACATCAAAGTTAAAAGTTGTTTAATAGTAATAAAAAAGAATTAGACAAGATTTCTTACCTCGTTACAGATATTATTAACCTTTGTGAAATTTGGGTCGAGTTCATCATTGTTTTTCTTTTGAATCTCGTTTATATAATTCAAATAAATCTCGGCGACATTTTTAATATTGGTGCTTTTGAGCAATAACTAAAATGAACAATAGTAAAACTATTAACAATTATCATTAGGTTATGGTTATTATTGTCGCTTAGTCTTCACCTTAATGGCCAGTCCCTTTCTGATCTCAACAACTTGGTAAATGACATCATAATTCTTGAAGAATAAAGCGAATTTCGCTATGCTGGCAGCAATTGGGCCAGAACACATGGTAAAAACTCTTCCATTATCAAGTCTTTCATAATGTGTCAAGATTTCAGGTACATGACGAATTGCGTCATAAATCATATCCGATAGACAATAGATCGCAAGAGTACGGTTTTCAGGTTTCGATAAATCTTGGAGATCATTTACGTAACGCGACCAAATTTCTTTTGGCCAGTATTTCCGATTTTCTCGTAAATCAACTGAATAATCTCGAATTATGTTTTCTTTTTGAAGAAATATCCCAACAATTCCAGCATTTTCTCGACTAAAAATAGAAAATTATATGTATTGTATTATACATTCCTTCCACAGAGCAAGTTGTGAGGGATGGTGTTGTGAAGAGTTACACGTAAAACAAAAAAAAAGGAACATTTACTTGTTAATATTTCCTATCGTTTTTGAATCTAATAACCCTCTAGCAATAAAAATATCAGCAAGTCCAATACCGACTAATCCAGCAACGTAATGCGAATATAATTCATAATCTACTACTGTGTTTATGGCAAAATTATTTTCAGCTGCTTGCTTTGCATAAGTTGCCATTCCCTGTCCCATCGCTTGTGTTATATTTTCAATAATAGTTTGATATCTAAATATTTGAAATAAAAGGTTTCGAAGGTAAATAACACGATTGTTAAATGGTAAAGAATCTTGTGTATTTACTTTTTTTCAAGATTCAAAAATTCTTCTATCACAACATTAAATTCTACTAATAATTGCCGGTCTTCATTTGGGCCACCTAAAATCATATTAATAAATCGTGTCAATTACAATGCTGGCATTAAATAAAACAGCACTTTTAGATTACTTGAAGTGAAATTCCATCCTCGTTCATAAATAATTTTATGAAATCTCGATAATAAGTCTATTTTCATATCAATCGGTAATGTCATGTCATCTTCGATAGTATCAAGACCACGCAGAACGAGATAAAAGAGACAAATCTAAAAACGAGCAAACTAATAAATAAGGTGAAATAAATCCTTTAAATATTTCTCATCTCTTGATACTAACTGGTTCATACAAATCACCAGAATAATTATTTATAATAATTGCGAAGGATCTCGAATATTGGTTTAATAGATGTCTACATCTTTTCTTATCGTTATCGTCATTGACTTTTTCTTTCGTTTGGATGAAATAAAATTTAATTAACGCTAAAAGTTCAGATGGATGTAATATTGACTCGAGAAAATGTTTTATCATTGTTATTATTTATTATATACTTTTTTGTAAATGACAGGTGTTATTATACGTAATAATAATGACGTATTATTCCTTTTGAAACTATAATGGGTATCATTTAAGTTCAACTGTATGCAATTACATAATAAAATAAATGAACACATACTCTGATATGCATGAGATCGACTAAATATAAATGTTCAATAAAAGTGCCATAGAGAAGACCAATTAATTGTCTAATTAATCAAATGGTAATCTTTTTGCAGATGCTTCTCTTGAAGATATTTGACTAGCACCGATAGCACTTGGTACTTTAATCCCGCAGCAGTCCGGAAACTCTTGTCCAAAGGCGTGTACGTGTACATGATCATGTTCGTCTTCATCATTCACCAGACTGCCTTCGAAATCGATCAGTGACCCAAACATAAAGTGCTGCATGATGGGTAGCTTACCAAGTACTTCTGCCTTATACATTTTAATCATGCCTTCATTTATCTTATTCCACGTCTAGAACACGATTAACATACATAATTAACATTATTTGCATCAATTTAATGAATCGGTTGAAATAATAATATTCACCTTAACACCAGAAATGTCATTGATCATTGGTGAATTCCATTGTAGCGAGGCCGTCTTTACCTATATAACAGAATAACAAAGTGTTTAATTTGCTTGATACAAAATAACTAAAGAAAACCTCAATGATCACATACCGAGTTTATAAACTTGATACAAGCTAAATACATATATTCTTTTGAGTATTCATCAACTACGTCTTTATCATGGATTGATTTTGGACGAATGTACTTGTGGCCTTAATTAACGCATAAATATTTAAGACCAATAAGAAGAAAGTGCGAAAAAGAAAAAGAATTTAAATTTTCTCACCTATCAATTGAGAAGAGCCGAATAAAAAAGGAAGAAAGTGATAGTCATCTAATCCCCAGACACCGTGAGATCCTGCGGGCTCAAGCCAATATTGAAATTGTAGGGTCCGCATCACCTCTATATATCTTGATAAATAAATAAAATTAGAAAAATCACATAGTTGTATTAACATTAAATATAGATGAATAAATACTTGTGAAAAACTCGAAGCACAATAGACCGATAATCATCTGGTCCAATAAATCCTAATTTTTCTAGACATAATCTATATATGAGAGTTAATAAATTAGATTGATGCTGTCATATTCTTATCGATAATGCTTACAGCCATGCAATGAAATTAGCTTCATGTCCTGTTCCATAATCAATTCTTTTCCGGTTCCCCCAGGATTCAACAAAATATCGAGATATTTCTGGTATAGCGGCGGGTGGTATTGATAGATTCTCATGAAATTCTGCAGCGGTCTAACAAGTGAAGCTTAGCATTTAGCAAATATTATCTCTATGAAATATCAAGGTCAAGGCTTACGTTATTAACTCGATCATAGAAATCCCTGAAAGCAGGATTTCCAAATCTACTTTTTTCGTTTCGCACAGGTGGTATCTCTTCACAATATGAATTCACTATATCAAGCACATCAATGATGTTTTGCACCACCTTTTAAACATCCAATAATAGAGATTATTCGCAATTAAAGAAAAATGTATGTTAATGAGGAGGATTTTTTTATTATGAGACCTTTATTAATTAAATCGAGTCAAGTTAACTCATTTTCCCACCTGCGACACAACACAATCTGTACTCAATTTTAAGCTTTTAATTGATTCATTTAGTCTTTCGATGAAAGCAAAATACTCTTGAAACGCGGATGACTCTTGAAACCTCTGTAAATCTTCTTTGGTTAATATCTTCCGCTTTGGAACTGTAAAGGAGGAAGATGGATCTGTTGCGACAAACATTTCTCAATATATGTTATGCTTTTAAAATATAATATATACATATATATAAAAACGCGAAAATGCTTTGGGTCATAATAGTAGCCAATCATTTTTGAAAGAGGATGGATGACTAACGCTACATTAAATAGATCAAAATGTTTTGTTTGCGTAAAGTCTTGATTTCGCGTTGCATCTCTTATCCCAACCGTATTTTCTACTGCGTGAATTTTAGGAAAATGTCGCAAGCAACAACCACAGATTGGCCCGCGTCCAAAGTACGTTCAACTTTTATCTCATATTTTGAGTCAAAAGGCCATAAACACATACCTTCTTCGTCGACTATACCCTTTGAAGACCCTACGTTATTATTCGCAAATGCTGGCATGAATCAGTTTAAATCTATATTTTTGGGAACAGCAGACCCAAATTCAGAATTTGGTAAATTAAAACGTGCAGCCAACAGTCAAAAATGTATACGTGCTGGTAAGTCATTACTCGTTCTGGAGTACAATGCTACTAGTTCCTGGTTGAATATGATAATATATTCATATGATTTTTAATATCATAATTCTGTTAATTCAGGTGGCAAGCATAATGACTTGGACGACGTCGGTAAAGACGTTTATCACCATACATTCTTTGAGATGTTGGGAAATTGGTCGTTTGGTGATTATTTCAAGGTTTGAAAAACAATGGAAATTTTAATAAATGAATTATTAAATTAATGCAAAATGAAATTGTGATTTTATTTAGAAAGAAGCAATAGAGATGGGTTGGGAAATTCTCACAAAAGTATATGGACTACCCAAGGATCATTTATACGTGACATATTTTGAGGGAGATGCAAAGTTGGGCTTGGAGCCTGATTTAGAGGCTAAACAAATTTGGTTAAATGTTGGAGTAGAAGAAAGCCGATTAGTTCCTGGCAATGCAAAAGATAATTTTTGGGGTGAGTAATTCCCCTGACCCCATAAAGGAAAGACTTTAACTTTCTCGGTAGAGAATCGCATTTTCATAATTAGTTCTTTTGGTCTATTGTTAGAGATGGGGGAGACTGGTCCATGTGGTCCATGCTCCGAGATTCATTTCGATCGTATTGGTAATCGTGATGCATCATCTCTTGTGAATAAAGATGATCCAAACGTAGTGGAAATATGGAATCTTGTTTTTATGCAATTCAATCGTGAATCGGACTCTTCTTTACGTCCATTACCCAACAAACATATTGATACTGGAATGGGATTGGAACGTATCGTCTCTGCTTTACAAAACAAACTTTCAAACTACGATACCGACATTTTCCAGCCGATTTTTCTAAAGATTCAGCAATTAACAGGAGCGCGTTCATATACTGGCAAAGTGGGTGCTGATGATATCGATGGGTTAGATATGGCTTATCGAGTTATTGCGGATCATGTGAGAACCTTGACTTTTGCTATTTCCGATGGGGGTGTACCTAGTAATGAAGGGCGTGGTTATGTCCTTAGAAGAATATTAAGACGTGGTGCACGATATGCGCGCAAAAAATTCAATGTTAAAATTGGAAGTTTTTTCTCAAGTTTGGTAGACACAGTGGTCACCGAAATGGTAATGCGAATTGTTTTTTATTTTTATCATCAAGGATTGTTTAATTTACTGAAAGATTTCTAGGGTGATGCTTTTCCAGAGATCAAACGAAAGGTATCCGATGTTAAAGAAATCTTGGATGAAGAAGAAGAAAGTTTCTCACGTACGCTTGATCGAGGCGAAAAACTTTTTGATGGATATCTTCAAAAAGCTAAACAATCTAATGCTCCTGTATTGCCTGGTGCTGATGTTTGGCGCCTGTACGATACATATGGTTTTCCGGTGGATCTTACTCGTCTAATGGCTGAGGAAAGTGGACTTGGTGTTGATGAACAAGAGTTTTTGAAAGAACAAGAAAAAGCTAAAGCTATCAGCCGTAATGCTCGTAGTGTTGGTGTTGATGATCAAAATCTTGTTGCATTGGATGTGCACGACATTGCAAAAATTGAAAAATTCAAGACAATACCAATCACGGACGATAATTTCAAATACCGTATGTATCTTCATATTTATCTTATTTGGTCATTTTTTGAATTACATCATCAAACACTATTTTTCTTGTATTTAGAAACTGGAAATATAAATGCCATTATTAAAGCGATATTTTACAATCATGAAATATTAAATTCTACTGAGAATATATCGACGGGAAAAAATTTTGGCATCATTCTTGATCGTACAAATTTTTATGCAGAAGCAGGCGGCCAACAATATGATACGGGCGCACTGACAATTGATGGTCAAGCTGAATTTGTAGTAGAAAATGTTCAAGTGTTTGGAGGTTATGTTTTACACATCGGTTATTTAAAGTATGGCAATTTGTCGGTTGAAAATGAAATAGTTGCATCATATAATGAAGTAAGTATTTAAAAGATGATGTTTTTATTGCGATTTAATTTCTCAATATTTTTGATTTCGATAGTTTCGACGATGGCCTCTTCGAAATAATCATACCGCGACTCATATTCTGAATTATGCTCTTCGAGATATTTTAGGTGATCAAGTGGATCAGAAAGGTTCTTTGGTGGCTCCCGAAAAACTACGATTCGATTTTTCGTTAAAGGTAACAAACATGATGCATTCTTAAGTTTCCGATGTGTATATTTATAATTCAGCTGGATTTTTCAATAGAAACCCGTCGCTACTGATGAACTTGCGCAAATAGAAACCATTTCAAATGATTTTATTCAGAAAAATCATAGAGTTTATTCAAAGGAAGTACCATTACATGTTGCTAAAGCAATACATGGGCTTCGTGCTGTTTTTGGAGAAACTTATCCTGATCCCGTCAGAGTGGTTTCCGTTGGATTTGACGTGGAAGAAATAGTGAAGGATGTGTCGAATCCTAATTGGGGTTCAACATCTATTGAATTTTGTGGTGGCACGTAAGTTTTTATTCCGTATTTAGGATTTATTTTGTATTTATTTGGTTATCTTAACCTTCTATTTATCCCTTGTTAAGTCACGTGGCCAAAACGGGCGATATAAAAACATTTGTTATTCTAGAAGAATCTGGAATCGCCAAAGGAATTCGTCGAATAGTTGCAGTGACAGGCGAAGAAGCTCAACAGGTAAACCAGATATTGTAAACAAATATACAATGCAGGAATAATAATACTTTCCCGCCTCCTTTTAATTATTTATAGGCGCATCGACAGGCACAAGAATTTGATCTAAAGTTTCAGCGCCTCCAAAAATTAGAAGGCATAGAACTAGATAATGCCATTAAAGACGTCAGTAAAGAACTTGATGCATCGTGTATATCCGCCGTGCGAAAAGCGGAATTTCGTGACACATTGACTGCGCTTAGGAAAAAATTTGCTGATACGGATAAAGCAGTAAAAGCTGCACAAACTAAAGAAGTCAGTCAAATATAAAAAATTTGCTTTTTTTGTTACAATTTAACAATTTAGATTTAGTAAATATTATTATTTTTAGGTGGTTGATTCTATTAATGCATACTTCACAGAGAATCCCAACGAAAATTTCATAATTAAGCAATTAAACGTAGGATCAAATGCAAAAGTAAGAATGATCATAAACAAATCTTTGAAAATTGATTTGATTTTTCTTTAATGAATTAATATTTGAAAAAGGCCATCGTTGCTGCAATCACACAAGTTAAGCAAAATTATCCTGAAAAAGCCGCGTACTTATTTGTTATTGATAACACGTCTAGTCGTGTGTCACATAGTTGTGTGGTAGGTAAATCACTTATTGCACGTGGATTAAAAGCTGGTGATTGGGCAAAAGCAGTATCGGAAAAAATTGGGGGAAAGGTAAAATTTGTAACAAATTGTGCTCTTCTATATAATTACGTTGTGAATTAACGCATTATTTATTACTAGTCGGGAGGAAAAGATGAATCCGCACAGGGTAGTGGAGTAAATATTGACAAACTTGGGGAGGCCTTGAAAGTTGCCGAGCAATTTGCTCAGTTAAAACTTGTAGAATGCTAAAAATGTAGTTTTATTTATGCTATAAGAAGTTTCACTATAATAAATTTTATTGTAGGATCGCATGTACGCGATTCCGAAGTTAAATCGATCAAGATATATAAAAGTCAGGTCACCTTGTTAATTAACAGTTTTTGTTAAGAGATCAATTTATTATTGGAAAAGAATCAACAGAACCCGATTAATTTATTTCAGGTCTGTATGCCATCGTTAATAAGAATTTTACTAGATTATAGATTATATGGCTAACAATCGAGAATTTTTTAGTTAGGAAATTTGTCCACAGTTTGTAATAGTAATGGGCTTTGAAGGTTTCCCAGTGGAAGAGCCTAATTTCTCAATTTTGTAAACAACATCTAATCCTAATGAAATAGATAATTGATATAAATAATAATAATATTATAAGTAATAATAAATAAACTATAATAAAAAAATGTTTACCCTCAACGACACTTCCAAATACAACATGTTTGTTATCCAACCAACTGGTCTTTACGGTGCAGATAAAGAATTGCGAGCCATTGGTATTTGGACCTGCATTAGCCATCGAAAGAATTCCGGGGCCAGTGTGCTTCAAGGCAAAGTTTTCATCGGCAAATTTTTCACCATAAATTGATTTTCCACCTGTACCATTACCCTTTGTAAAATCACCTCCTTGAAGCATAAATTGAGGAATAACACGGTGGAAGGTAGATCCTTTATAGCCAAAACCATGTTCTCCTGTACACAAAGCTCGGAAATTTTCAGCTTATATCAAAAAATTGGATGAACATATTAACCACATGATAATTATTATAGAAAACTAAGAAAATCAGGAAAACCAGAAATTTCACCAGTTTTAGGAACTATATCAGCTCTCAATTCGAACACAATGCGCTTTTAATAGATGCATTAAATATTAGACCAAATGATTGCTAATTCTCACTTTTCTAGAAAGAATTCCAAGACTTACGCCAATTGGTTCACCCTGAACAGCACATTCAAAGTAGGTTCTAGGATTGGACATAATTTCCTTTGTTGCGGATTTTGTGCTGAAATAGAAAACACTGTTTCGCAAGATATAACCCGAAGATTGCATAAACATAAGAGATAAAACACTTTATATAAATATAATATTTTACGAGAATACTTTGATACATAACTTCAATAAATATACTTACAGTAAAAATTGGAGAGATATAAGTCGAATGAAAAATAAAGAAATTTACGAGGTTTGTCGTTATATAGAAAAAAAAATCTTTACACAGTAGTAACACGTGGCACAATAATTAATCGAACTTGATTGATAAAGGTCCCACACCGGCGTTCTATTTTTTATACATTGTATGCATGATATGCAGGTGCCCAGGTATCCATTAACCTAAAATCAAGTTGATAAACTGGTTTTTCATGAACAAAGAATGTTGCGTAATAATTTTTTAGATTTAATTTGAAAAAAATTTATGTTAAAATATATATATATGAAATCGATTTAAATTAAATTTAAAAATTTATAAAAAATATACATATGTTAATATCAAAACAAAAAATATTTTTAGATTTTTGGTAATCATATTTTAATATATAGTGGCTAACAAAATTATGGAATTATGGGTGTGACTTTATTAATAAAATAAAGTAACAATTGAAATTTTTGTCTTATATTATATAAAGTTTTTAATTTTATTATTTTTTATTTTTATATTAAAATGAAAATGAAAATTATAATTTATATTTTAACATTTATTTTTTCTGGATTTTTTAGATTTAATCTGATAAAGTTGTTTTAATTGCAAAAATTTTTTATAATTAATTTTATATTTTAATAATAAAAAATCTTTGCAATTAAATATATATTAAAATATAAGTTATAATTTTTATTTTAATATAAAAAAATTAATAAAATTAAAAACTTTTATATAATAATTAACAAAAATATAAATATATATATATATAATATAGTAACTAACAAAATTATGAATAAAATATAGTAAAAATTGAAACTTTTGTCTTATATAAAAGTTTTCAATTTTATTTTTTATTTTATATTAAAACAAAAATTATAAGTTAGATTTTAATATATATTTGTTTTGGATTTTTATTGATAAAGTTGTTCTAATTGCAAAAATTTTTTATAATTAATTTTATATTTTAATTATAAAAAATTTTTGCAATTAGAACTAAAGATGGGATCACAATTGGTTGCAACTTGATCACAATTCTCTGATTGGTTGTCACAATTAATCACAATTAAATCACAATTCTCTAATTGAGTATCACAAGTCACAATTAATTGAGACACTATTTTTAATTAGAATAACTTATCAGAAAAAATCTAAAAAATTCATGTTAAAATCTAACTTATAATCTTTATTTTGATATAAAAATAAAAAGTATTTATTAATAAAGTTAAAAATTTTTATATAAAACAAAAATTTCAATTTTTAATATATTTATTAATAAAATCATATATATAATTTTATAATATTGTTAGTTATTATATATATAATATTATATATTAAAATTTGTTTTTTATCAGATCTATAATAAATAATATATAGTAACTTGCAAAAAAATAAAATACTTTAAAAAAAAATAAATAAATTAAATATATTATAATTAACATAATACTTAAATAAATTTTTATTGATTTAAATTCTTTAATTGATAATTTATTATATTATTTAAACTAAAAAAATATATATTCTTAATTTTTTTATTATTTTGCTTATTTTTATATTAATACTAATCATTAATTTATTTTTCTTAGATATAGTGAATTAAAATAAAATATATATTTATTCAGTTTAGTTATAAAATCATCATATTGTAGAATCTTTTTTGATTTTTACTATATCACGTATTTTTTTTAGTATAATTTCAATTAACTTAATGCAAACATCAACTTTCAAAATTTTATATGTTCTAGATTTTTTCCAGAGATTGTTTTTTTCCAAAATTGATTCTGAAAGATGTTTTAAAATGCTAATTCATCTCATTTCAAAAATGTTTTATCAGATTTAAATTCAGAGATTGGATTATTAATCTAGAACATTAATATTAGTTTTCTTAATTCAGTTTTGTGCTTTATTTAATATGTGTTTCAGATTATTAGTATATTAAAAGATAGTATTATTTATATTTATATCATATTATGATAATGATTTAAAAAAATCTTTATTAAGTATTTGTATATAAAGTTTAGCATCAAGATCATTATCAATATTATTATGATATGAATTTTTATTATATTATTATTATTTCAGTTTGTTTGCACTGATCTTTATTAGTATTCTCTTTGATAAATGCTATACAAGAGTTAACACAGAAATCAACAAGATTTGGTTTAATCAGTACCTATTTTCTAAGAAACTTTCAAAGTTTGTACAAAATAATGCATAATATTTTTATTATTTTTAATATTTCATTAAATATTATCTCTAAAATATTATATAGATTTTTTATTTTGAGAAGTCAGAGATCTTTAATCATCTCTTTAGATAATTCTGTGTAAAAACAGGAACAAAAAATTTTATAAGAAAAATAAATAAGAAAATAAAAAAATCAAATCAGAGTTACCAAGATCTAATAAATACTTTCTTTCTTCTGATAAGCTAAATTCTTTTTCTGATCCTTCTTTCATCATATTAAATTCATTCTCTGATTCTTCTTCTAATAATTCAAGAAAAATATCATCTCCATCATCTGAATCTATTAGATTATTTTAAGATACTGCTATGGTTACTTTAAATGAAGGGTTTCTTCACTATTAGTAAAAGAGTCATATGAGTTGGGAGAGAGGAATAGACTAAT